TGGGCAGCGAGACTTCATTTTTACAATAAAAAAAAAAAAAAAAAAATCAGCCGGGCATGGTAGCGCATGCCTGTAATTCCGGCTACTCGGAAGGCTGAGGCGGAAGGATTGCCAGAGCCTAGCAGGCGAGGTTGCGGTGGCCAGGAGCGGCCACTGCACTCCAGTCTGGGTGACAGAGTGAGACTCCAACTCAAAAAAAAAAAAATAGTTAAGACAGGCCAGGCGTGGTGGCTCAGCCTGTAATCCCAGCACATTGGGAGGCCGAGGCAAGTGGATTGCCTGAGCCTGCGGGTTTGAGACCAGCCCTGGCAACCTGGCGAGACCTCATCTCTACAATAAATAAAAAATTAGCTAGACAAGGTGGCGCACGCCTGTAGTTCCGGCTACTTGGAAGGCTGAGACGGAAGGATTGCCTGAGCCCAGCAGGTCGACGCTGGGGTGGCCATGAGCGTGTCACTGCATTCCAGCCTGGGCGACAGAGCAAGACTCCAACTCAAAAAAAAAAAAAAACAGATTAAGATGGTAAATGTTATGTGTAATTACCACAATTTTTTAGAAATGTCAGGGTAAGGGAAGAAAGTGTGAGGGTGGATGGAGGTGTTTTAGACAGGGTTGTAAGGAAGGCCACCATTTGAGCAGGTTGGACTAAAGGGAGGGAACAAGCCAGGAGATGGGGAGGAGAGGATTAGGCGGAGGAGAAGTGCAAAGCTCCTGAGGAGGGAGCAGCTTAGTATCCCAGGAGTGGAGATGAGGAATCACAGGATTCTTCAGAAAGCCTGTGGTGGGGCAGGTGAGCAAAAAAACAGGGAGAGATGTTTGTTGACTGCAAGTCTCCTGAAGAAGCTCTAAGTAAAATGAACTTTGAAAGCAGGAGAGACTGCTTGTATCATCCCATTTAAAAGAAACACTATCTTATTTTTAGGACAGATTCCGTAGAGCTCTTCAAATTATACGACTATAGTTACATGTTTATTAAAAGAAGCATGCTTTGCATATTTTATGTTTAATTTCCATCAGATGACTAAAGACTGTTTCTTTTTAAACTTGTGCTTTCCTTCTTTTTATTTATTTATTTTTTATTGATTTGGAGTCTCACTCTGTCGCCCAGGCTGGAGTGCCGTGGCACCCTCATGGCCACCCCAGCATCGACCTGCTGGATGCCGGCGATCCTTCCCGCCTCAGCCTTCTAAGTAGCTGGAACTACAGGCGCGTGCTGCCACCCCCGACTTATTTATTTATTTATTTATTTATTTATTTATTTATTTATTTATTGAAGAGATGAGGTCTCACCAAGTTGCCTGGGCTGGTCTTGAACCCATGGGTTCAGGCAATCCACTCTCCTCGGCCTCCCAAAGTGCTGGGATTACAGACTGAGCCACCACGCCCGGCTGCTTTCCTTCTTTTTTTTTTTTTTTTTTTACAGTCATTCCTCCTGCCCTTCATTGTGTGTTTCATCAATATTGTCAGATTATCTGCCTCTGATATCATGCAAAACACAAAGTAAATTCTCTTTTTCAGTCTCCTTACTCTTCCAGAAGGTGATTTCCCTTCTGTCTGTGTGTGTATCTCTTTCTCATTCTCTCCTCCCTCTTAAGTCCAATCCTATACACTTGTTCTCTTAAGAATATATTATTTAGCTGGGCACAGTGGCTCATGCCTGTAATCCCAGCACTTTGGGAGGCAGAGGCGACAGGATTGCCTGAGCCCAGGGGGTTATAATTTAGTAGACACCAGGAGAGTTATATACCACATGTTGGTGAAAAGCAAAATACTATAAAAGATACTCATGAGCCAATTGCTCAATACAACAATTAAAATGAACTACCACTTCACACTAACTAGGATGGCTGTCATAAAAAAAACTTTAACAAGTGTTGGCGATAATGTGGAGAAAGTGGAAGTTTTGTATACTACTGGTGGGAATGAACGACACTGCAGTCACAGTATGGTAGTTCCTCAGAAGGTTAAACTTCAGAGTTACCATATGGCTTAACAATTCCTCTTCTAGGTAAAGTCCCAAGAGAAATGAAGACAAATGTCCAAACAAAAATGTCTACATAAACATTCATAGCAGCATTATTCACAAACACCAAAAGTGCAAACAATCCTAATGTCCATCAGCTGGTGGAGGAACAAAATGTGATGTATCCATACAATGGACATGCAATTCAGCCTTTACAAGGAATGAAGTACTGATACATGCCACAACATGGATGATTCTTGGAAACACGCTAGTAAAAGTGGCCAGTCACAAAAGATCACATATTACATGATTCCATTTATATGATTTACAGCAAGGGTCCAGAATAGGCAAATCTATAGAGACGCTAAAGTAGATTGCTGGGTGTCGAGGGCTGGGGGAGAGATGGGGCAGGAACTGCGCGTGGATGTGGATTTCTTTGGGAGTGATGAAAATGTTCTGGAATTAGACAGTAGATACGATTGTACAGCCCTGTGAATGTAACTAAAAACCACCGAACTGTACCTTTTAGAGAGGTGAATTCTATGGTATATAATTTCTTTCTCTCTCTCTCTCTCTCTCTCTCTCTCTCTCTCTCTCTCTCTCTCTTTCTTTTGTCAGGATCTCATTGTATCATCCAGTTGGAAAACAGTGGCATGATCACGGCTCACCACAGCCTCAACCTCCTGGGTTCAGGCCATCATCCTGCCTCAGCCTCCTGAGTATCTGGGAGTACTGGCAAGCGCCACCATATCCAACTCATTTTTTGAGTTTTCATAGAAATAAGATCTTGCTATGTTGCCTAGGCAGGTCTTGAACTCCTGGGCTCAAGTAATCCTCCCACCTCAGCTTCCTAAAAATGCTAGGATTACAGGTGTGAGCTACCACAACTAACCTATGGCATATAATTTCTATCACAACAACAAAATAGATGGGAGGGGTAAGGATTTATCAAACAAAACAAAACAAACCATACCACAACTTAGTCCTTCTGTGTATTCCTCCCCTATCCCATCTCCCAGTATCCTCCATACCCCAGGGTCCTAAGTGCTAAATGTACTGTTTAATATTTAGCACTAAGCCGGGTTCGGTGGCTCAGCCTATAATCCCGCGCCTTTGGGAGGCTGAGGTGAATGGATTGCCTGGGTCCGCAGGTTCGAGACCCGTCTGGGCAGCGAGACCTCATCTCTACAATAAATCAAAAAAAATCAGCCGGGCGTGGTAGTGCATGCCTGTAATTCCGGCTACTCGGAAGGCTGAGACGGAAGGATCGCCGAAGCCCAGCAGGCAAGGCTGTGGCGGCCGGGAGTGGCCACTGCACTCCAGTCTGGGCGACAGAGTGAGACTCCAACTCAAAAAAAAAAAAAAAATATTTAGCACTCCATAACTTTTTCCCTCTTTGTTTCCCACAATAACCTATTGGTACAAAGTCAGATATTTCAAATTTA